CAGGCAAAGAGAAGGATTTGAATCAGCAATTAGAAACAGTGAACCAGCAGCTACAGAAACTGGAGAAGGAATTCAAGGAAAATTCAGGAAAGGCTTTGGCAAAGGAACAAGAACAAGAACAAAAACTGGTGCAAGTACTGAAGGAGACTCAGAAAGCAGAACAAGAGCTGAGGCAGAAACATGTTGAAGAGCTGGAGAAATTGTCTCAAGGTAAAGATTCAATAGAAAGTCTTGTAGCAGAGAGAGAATCAAAAGTGGCTTTGGTAACTCAAAATTTAAATAACGTGATACAAGAGAAAGAAACTCTAGAAAATGTTATTACAGGGAAGGATTTGGAACTGAAGAAATTAAGTGTTGAATTAACAACAGCGCAAGAAGAGAAAACCTCTGCAAACAAATTAATTAAGGAGCAAACTGAAAAATTAGCTTCAGTAACTGCAGAATTACTGAAAGTACAAGAAGACAAGGCAACTGCAGAAAACAAAAGTACAGAAGAGAGGGCAGAAGTTGTTGCTGTTACTGAAACACTTAATGTTATACGGAAAGAGAAGGTTGAAATTGAAATAAAATTAGCAGAGACAGAAACAAAGTTATTTGAACTGAAACAAAGTTTAACAAGTTTACAGGAAGAGAAGAAAGACACAGAGGTTTGTGTATCACAGAAAGATTCAAGACTTCATGAAATTATGACTGAATTATCTAGGTTACAACAAGATAAAGATGCTGTGGACAAAATTTTGATAGAAAGGGACTCCAAATTGTCAAAGGCAATGGAAGAGCTGACAAGGCTTCATACTGAGAAAGAAGCTGCTGAAAATCTTGCAACAGAGAGAGAAGAGAAACTGAAGAGTGTAATGGAGGAGGTGCAGCAGCTGAAAGACAATTTTGATTCCCATTGCCAAGAGTTACAGAATAAATTGGTGCAGACTCAGATGGAAGCAGAGGCAGTACAAGAGGTACATAAGCAATTGTAAGTACATGAACTGAAACAGTATTATATTACAGAATTTTGAAAACTTCAGCTTTGTTGATGACCTAACAGCGATGTGCAGTCATGTCAACTGACTTTTGAAAACTTCAATTTATTAGTTGTTCTTGTTAAAAGTATTATATTTGATTCAGTACTTATTTAATATGTTTATTTGGATTGTTATGTTTCATATTACTTGTAGGCACTTATTACTTCATGTTTTTTTAAAATTCAAATGAACATGTTCATTATGATATGCTTCAGCAGTAATTCTCACTCTTAAAACTTTGCATACTGTGTAGTGTATTAGAATATAAATAAGCACACAAACAACTAGTAACACTATAAAGAAGACACTATTGCCATACGCATTTCAACCTTAAAAGGTCATCATCAGTGGCATCAGGGAAATCAATTCATTTAATTAAATGGCTCAAACAGCATTCGGTGCAGTGTCGCTTATAATACTTTTCGTCAAATGTCCTATTCATTATTTATTTTCTAAATCAAGTTTGAGCCATTTAATTAAATGAATTGATTTCCCTGATGCCACTGATGATGACCTTTTAAGGTTGACTCGCGTATGGAAATAGTGTCTTCTTTATAGTGTTAATAGTTGTTTGTGTGCTTATTTATAATAGTAATTCTCAAGTTTTACATACAACCTGAAATCCTCTATATTAGACATTTATCTCTTTATGTCTTGTATACATGTCTGATTTTTAATAGCATGAATCATCCATATAATAATAGGGGTAGATTAAAGTCCATGTTGCCCTATATTGCTTATCTTTCATAAATTTCTGTCACAGTCATGAAGGTTTATCCATATCAAAATTCTGTTTGCATTTTTTGCTGGTGCCCCCTAACTGTACCAGGGATAGATCTGTGTATTTTCTATGGGGGCTTTGTTCTAAAATTCTTCCAAGTCACCAGTTTTCTTTGCTCACACTTCAGAAATTATACCTCCCACCACATGTAATAACAGGAAAACAAATGTTACATCTGTGTGTATATTAATTGATACAGAAACATGTTTCATTGAATAATGACAAATATTCTGTGAAATTATTTTAATTTTTCCATAAGCCTTTTTACTTGTATTTAATGCCAATAGCATTGTCTATACTAAAAAGAATTTTATATTCGTACATTCTTTTTATTGAGTTGTGTGTTATAAGCAAATATAATAATGTTTCTTAAAGGGAGGAGGACTTGAAGACTAATAGTAAAAAGGAGATGGCAAATTTAGAGAAGTTGGAGG